GTTGCTAGGAAGCCTTGTCCGAGTGATATATCCGTGTTAAGTTCGGGCATGGTGTATTATTAGCCTGGCGCATTAAAAACGACAACGAAATAACCGACATTAATCAGGAATAGAATTAAAAACACACACCCACGAGTATGCACGTTGCACTGGGAGCAAAATTATTTTATGTGCGAAATTGCCGCACATTTCATCTTATCTCACAATTAACAGTTAATGACATATATTACATATAACGAAAGATACCTGTGTCCGTTGCTCACATTATGAAATATAACTTATAAGAGAAGCCAACGTTACCTGGTTTAATTCTTGGCAAATGTCCAAGACGAGAATCCGTCCGGAGAGCGGAAGGTCGCGGGTTCGATCCCCGGCCGCGTAATACCAAAAGACGTTAAATTATGGTACTTGTTGGTCCCAGCCTGGCGCTCGGCATTAATGGGTACAACAAGGCCTGGTCGGCTCGGATCTCAGTGGGCTAGAATTATAAAACCAGCTTAAGTCTGGGCTAGTACAGGCAGCCGCACATACACATACACACGCATGGACGTCGTCATATGAGCGAAATATTCTTAAGTACGACGTTAAACGCCATTTCACCTCACCTCCAAAACGAGAAATGTGAAGTAACTATGTGAAACATGAAGTAACTATGTGAAACATGAAGTAACTATGTGAAATGTGAAGTAACCATGTGAAACATGAAGTAACTAAGTGAAATGTGAAGTAACTATGTGAAACATGAAGTAACTATGTGAAATGTGTAGTAACAATGTGAAACATGAAGTAACTATGTGAAATGTGTAGTAACTATGTGAAACATGAAGTAACTATGTGAAATGTGAAGTAACTATGTGAAACATGAAGTAACTATGTGACATGTGTAGTAACTATGTGACATGTGTAGTAACTATGTGAAACAGGAAGTAACTATGTGAAATGTGTAGTAACTATGTGAAACAGGAAGATGCTCCGTCCATCCTGTAGTAATTGTGTGAATACAATTTTACGCCGCGTTCATCAATATTCAAAAGACGCCGCAGCGGGGAACCCAGAAGCGAACCCGGGCTTTCGGAGTGAGGAGCAACCACCTTAACCACTCAACGTCGGGTAAATACAGTTTGGGTATTGAAAAATGTGTCAGCCTCGTCAATACAGTCACCGGTGAAGTTGCTGTAGCAGTCGTGTGGGGCAGGTAGCCGTAGTTACTGGTGGCTTCAGGGTGGGGTAAGGCGAGAGAAATACACAATATATAACAAGTTTTATGGATAACAACGACGTTTCGATACAGATTCTTGTACCGTTGTCGCAAGAGTTTCTCGTGAGGTATAATCTACAACGGTACAAGAATCTGTATCGAAACGTCGCACTCACGAAAATAAAGAAGTTGTTATCCATAAAACTTGTTATATATTGTACGTCTCAACTTCTAAAATGCCACTCAAACAAGAGAGAAATACAGAATGTACGATGCGCTTCCCTTTTTTTTGGAAAAGTAGCGTTAAAGAAATTACCGTGTCTTTAATGTGTCAAATCTCCCCTGCATGCTAACACCCAAATGTTTTCCTAAAACGATCAATTCGTCTGACTTAACCGTGTTTAACGAACGATGTTGACAGTTCATGTGATATGAAAGTTAAACAAGCTTGTGTAAAGTTTCTTAGATTATACCTCACGAGACAACAAAACAAGTCGCCAATATACCCTTCATTTATCTGAAGACTGGCCACATATGCCCATTTTCTTATCTGGAAAGTGGAAACTGAAGCGTGCATAAATCAATTGTTAAAACGGGAGAGTAGCCAGTGAATGAAACAAATCTGTGTTTTACCTGGAGAGCCAACGATGAATCGGACATATCCATACTCGATATTGAGAGCCAACGATGAATCGGACATATCAATGCTCGATATTGAGAACCGACACTGAATCGGACATATCCATGTTCGATATTGAGAACCGAAACTGAATCGGACATATCAATGCTCGATATTGAGAACCGACACTGAATCGGACATATCCATGTTCGATATTGAGAACCGAAACTGAATCGGACATATCCATGCTCGACATTGAGAACCGACACTGAATCGGACATATCCATGCTCGACATTGAGAACCGACACTGAATCTGACATATCCATGCTCGGCATTGAGAACCGACACTGAATCGGACATATCCATGCTCGGCATTGAGGGCCAACGATGAATCTGACATATCAATGCTTTATGTTGAGAACCGACACTGAATCGGACATATCCATGCTCGACATTGAGAACCGACACTGAATCGGACATATCTATGCTTTATGTTGAGAACCGACACTGAATCGGACATATCCTTGCTCGACATTAAAAACCGACACTGACTCGTTCATGTCGATGTTTGATCTGGAGAGTCGCCATTGAATGTGACATATATCATGCTTTCCTACATCACACAGACCGCCTCCGTGGTGTAGTGGTTAGAGCCTCCGCCCGGGGAGCGGAAGGTCGCGGGTTCGATCCCCGACCGCGTCATACCAAAAGACGTTAAAATATGGTACTTGTTGGACCCTGACTGGCGCTCGGCATTAATGGGTACAACAAGGACTGGTCGGCTCGGAGTCAGTATAATGTGTCTGAGTGGGATACTCATGCTTCACTGTGGCATGGTATCTCAGTGGGCTAGCACTATAACACCAGCTTCAGTCTGGGCTAGTACAAGCAGCCGCACATACACATACACACGCATGCACATCGTCATATTAGGCGTTAAACCCTATTTCACATCGCCCACCTCACACATCACACACTGCATGAACCATATGAAGCCAGGGGAGGACAGTGTTGCAGTAGTAGGTGCCAGTAACAGTACTCGTCAACAATATCAACAATTCCTGGCCCTTCATAGTTGAAAAAAATAGAAAAAAGTCTCTCCCTGCTCTGAAATCCTGGCTTGACCACCACTGGACGCTGATTTTCCTTACCCATCCACATCATGTTAGAACACTTGTTGGGGATACCATAAAAGTAAATCCAAGTCTCGTCACCAGTGACGATGTCCATTTGGTCCAATGGTCCATTTGAAGCCTTCGTTGTTTCTGTTCAGGGGTCATCACATGAGGTACCCAACGAGCACAAATCTTCCTTAACTTCAAGTGGTCATGAAAGATTGAGTGGGTGCTGCCAAGTGATATGTCCAATGATGAACTAAATTTCACGCACAATTGCATGTGGATCTTCACCAATGTATTTCAGGACACTTGTCATTACCTCCTCGTTCATAACTGATATTGGACGTCCTGAGCGGTGTTCATCATAAAGTAAGGTCTTCCCATGATTGAATTCACTCAACCACCAAGCAACTGTCCTATATGATGGAGCTTAGTCCATACACACATTAACCAAATCTACATGGATTTTGGTCGCATCATTAGAAAACTGTGATCTCATGAAAACATAGAAGCGAAGGTTCTTACTGAACTTCATCTTTTTTAATCAGAGTTATGACATCATCACATTGTGACGTCATAACCACTTTTCATATTGGATATGACGTCACAAACGTAAGTTGATTAGATCTCATCTGAGGCTTCCCATAGATGCTAAATGTGCAGAGGTTATATTTGATATACAGAGATACAGTGTTGCCATAACTTGTTGAACAGCCCTCGTAGTTGACACTGCATCAGACATATCGTGTCACTCTCCTACCCAGAGTTCCATGCGGAAAGCCAGCATAGTACATCTGCCACAGGCCAGAAAGATGTGACGTTTCGTCACATCTTGCACCGTCCAGTCAATATTATCTACATATTCCTTAACTATTTTATTTTTGACGAGTCTGCGCATCTAATTTATCATCTTTGTTAGAATGGTTTAGTTTCACTGAGAAAATAATCCTAAAACATGTAACACTATTTCGATTTGCGTAGCGATCCTTTGTTTACATAGTTGTACGGCTCCACGTGCAGTCATCGAAGCCAACAGAGAGAAAACGATGCAGCCAGTTTGATATCTAAATATGTACTGTCATAAACATTACTGTCGCAGTTGTGGAAGAATATATATGTAACAATGTAAAACGTTGTGAAGAGGCCAGTCTCCGCTTATTATGAATATGCGCGTTTGTTTACAAACAAGAGAAAAGTCCGGTCACGTGATATGCAAATTAGCCTGTGGCAGTGATGTTATGCTAAGTCATCACTGCGCCGGAGTGTGATATCGTGTTTGGCCTTTATAGTTGCGGTGCGTCAAACATATGCGTGATATTGCCAGGGGATATGTTATCATTAGACATGGCCGTGTTTGATATGCAGAGGACAGGGTTACACATACCAGTTTCTTATCAGGAGAGTCATCAGCGGATCCGGCATGTACATGTTTGATGTAACGAGTGGTCACAGAATCATACATGTCCAGTCTTATCTGGGGAGTGTTCAAAGCATAGCCTCGACTCGAACCCACGTTTTCATTTTGCGAGCCAAGTTTACCCTCAGGGCTGCTTCAACCGTCGCGTTTTGACTTAACGACACATGTGGTGGTGGTATTGGTGGAAATTCCGATAATTACGAAGATTACAGAAACAATACCAATGATAAGGACGATCCAACATATGTTATATTTGGGATTACATTTTTACGTGATAGTACAGATTCTAGAACATATTTCTTGGTTGCGTCACATCCCTGATTCGAACCCCCACTACCAAAGTAAGACACAATGGCCAGCACTCAGAAAACGAGGATGTCCATGGTAATTGGGGTGTCATCCAGACTTAGCAAATATGTAATAATAATAAATTGGACATTTATATAGCGCTTCGTATCCAAAGATATCTCTGCTCAAGTGCGCTTAGCCATATGCTCTCGCTAATTTTCACGGGAGGCGGTGCACCGTTGATCGGTTAATAACGGATAACAATCGTGAGTGCATAAGATCTATATCAGCGTACTTACGTGGTGGTAGGCGTAACCGAGACCCTTCTATAGAAAACGTTACAGGTAAAAACAACTCACCACACATACTCCCAGGCCGACTAGTTGTAATACTTCTCCACAATTTACACGTCGGTTTAAAATCAACTGAATATCAACCCACACATACACCATTGCCCATCCCCTGTCACATGCTTGATAACACGCTTATATTCGCGGGCGTATTGATAATATATACCGTATCACAACACCTCGGGTATTATCTCTACCTTCAGAGCACAGAGCGAAATCAAATTCCGGTCGGTGTGACCCAGCTTGACTTGAGTGAGTGAGTGAGTATTGTTTTAGTTGCTTTTAGCAAAATCCCAGCAATATCACGGCGGTGGACATCAGAAATGGGTTTCACGCATTGTACCTGTGCGGAGAATGGAATAGAAGTCTTAAGAGTTGACAAGCGCAAAGACTTTACAAATAGCTGAGTAGCGTTTTTAGCAGCATTTGGCTGGATACAGGTCTGCCCACCGCCATCACTGGCCGCCGGTTAATATTTATGCTTGTTAAGTTCGGTTCTGTTCTAGGGGCGGTGGGGTAGCCTAATGGGTAAAGCGTCCGCTCGTCATGATGAAGACAGGGGTTTCATTCCTGACATGGGTACATCGATTACATGGGTTCAATTCTACACATGTATGAAACCCATTTATGGGCACCCCGCCGTGATATTGCTGAAATATTGCAATAAAACCATACTCACTCACTGAGTTCTGTTCAGGTCAGGTCAGGTCAGGTCAGGTCAGGTCAGGTCAGTTTCATTTCGCTTCGTTTCGTTTCGTTTCATTTCCGTTCGTTTCGGTTCGTTTCGTTTTTTATTGTGCAGATTTATTCCCAGTCTTGACGATTCGTTCGGTGAAAAGGGAAAATAAAAAAACAGTAATGACACAAGATATTCCGGAAAATGGAAATCATGCATCTCCTGCCCCTCCGGTAGCATCAGCAATTAAACACGTGTAACCATAGTGACGAAAGGTTAATGTACAAGGTGCAATAGGGCATGATATCATGTTTACATCCTGGTATAGAGAAGCAAAACAGACAGGTCATCGTGTCTCGTCTCGTGGAAACTACACACCGAGGTCAGTGGCTAACATTACATGTAGACAATACAAACAAGTTGATAGATCATATCATCTTCACACAAATCCCACTTGTTAATGGATCATATCACGTCCAAAAAAATCACACTTGTTAAATGATCTTGTCATTTTCGCACAAATCACACTTTGTTAAATGCATTGTATAGCGCATTGAAAACACATAATGTAATGGATCATGTCACATCATGCAGGTGCACACACAACAGACAGGTCGGTCCATCATGGATCAACTGACCTTTATATGTAAAACGCATGTCAAAGGGTCAACTCACGTGCTTACAAAACACTCTTCAAATCACGCGCCTATACAACACGCATACCAAAGAGTGAGTTCAGTTTTACTCCGCACTCGGCAATATTACAGTTTATGGCGGCGGTATGTAAATATTCGAGTCTGGACCAGACAACCCAGTGATCAACATCATGAGCATCGATCCACGCAATTGAAATACTATGACATGTGACAACCAAGTCAGCGAGCCTGATCACCCGATCCCGCCGAGCATACAGTGATACAAACCAATTAAATGAAACCAAAGACACAAGCCCGCAGATCCAATTAAATGCATACGATATACATATGCCACTGCATCTAATCACTTGCTAACAAAACAATCAAATAAATGGATCATATCAAGCGGATACAATCGATGAAATGTCGTGCTCACTAAACAAGAAAATGGGTCATATCACGCATATAGCATAAAAACTAAGGGACCTTTTGCATACAAAACAAGGACTATGTACATATAGAGCAATGGATCATATGTGCGTCCATAGCCATGGGTTAGCCTAGTGGTTATAGCGTTCTCTCGTCACATCGAAGACCCAGGTTCGATTCCCCACACGGGTACAAAGAGAGAAGCCCATTTCTGGTGTCCCTCGCTGTGATATTGCTGGAATATTGCTAAGGTCGTCGTAAAACTGTATATTCATTCACTCACTCACTCACATGACATGCATGCCAATGTATCATCTACCGCGCATACAAAACACGCAGGTCAGTGTCTTAAGCCAAGATGGATTGTGAAACCTCATATCGTCATAGGGCTCAGTTTATGAACTAAAGTAATCACTTGTATTGTACTACAGCAATCATTTGTATTGTACTCCAGCAACGATATTGCGCAATTGAAGTGGAAGGTGTTGCCACATGCTTACCTGGTGTATGAGGTGAAGGTTGTCGCTGACGTCAAAGAGATTGCAGCCTTGCGGACATCTAACTCCCACATAATGGAGTGGGGAGATGACCCAGTCACAACACCATATTACAATAAATAAATACAAGTCATTCGTACATATGATATGACACGTGACAGGTTCACATATTCGCATATAAACGTTAACGCAAGTCATTACTGTTTCACAAAATCAAATCTAGCTGATCGTATGTTTTGTGGGGTGAGAATGTTGAAGTGGCGGGTGTGATGTTGCAGGGCGTGGTGTGTTTGGGCGGGTGTGGCGTGGATGGCTTGTGATGTATACGGGTGTGTGTGATGTTAAGAGGGGCGTGATGTCCAAGGGCTCCATTTATGGGTCTGTGTGACGTTTACGGGTGCTGGTGTATTTGAGTGCTTGGTTGTGGCGTATAGGGAGGGATTTCCTTGCGTTAAGTGTGCCCGGGCGCGTCGTGTTCAGGAGAGAGATGTCATGTGGCGCTGATGTGATGACTTGTTTCAAATCACGGGTTGAGGGGATGAGTAACATTGCGGGGCAATTACTATTTGAGCATGAGTGTTGAGGGGCTCAGTGGATGGGGCACAGTACCCTGGTGTGTGTGTGTGTGAGAGAGAGAGAGAGAGAGAGAGAGAGTGTGTGTGTGTGTGTGTGTGTGTGTGTGTGTGTGTGTGTGTGTGTGTGTGTGAGATGTTTTTGATGGAGATGTTACGTGTTGAGTGATAGTGATGTGAAATGTGTGTGATAGCTACGGAAAGATTGTGGTGTCATTGCCGTTGTACGCGCTGGGTATCCTAGAATAATATGTTTCCAGTAGATGGTGGATGTCGATAACATAATTTCTCTGTTTATGCTGTTTATGACGCCCATAAAATGTCTTGTGTGTCCATGTTTCCAGTGATTTCGGAAGAGGCATGTGTCTGAATATGTTGACTGTACATACTTGGTGTCTAAATATGTTGACTGTACATACTGGTTGTCTAAATGTGTTGACTGTACATACTCGGTGTCTAAATGTGTTGACTGTACAGGGGGCGGTGGGGTAGCCTAGTGGTTAAAGCGTTGGCTCGTCACGCCGAAGGCCCGGGTTCGATTCCCCACATGGGCACAATGTGTTAAGCCCATTTCTGCTGTCCCCCGCCGTGATATTGCTAGAATATTGCTAAAAGCAGCGTAAAACTAAACTCAGTCAGTCAGTTGACTGTACATACTGACTGTCTAAATGTGTTGACTGTACATACTGGGTGTCTGAATGTGTTGACTGTACATACTGGGTGTCTAAATGTGTTGACTGTACATATTGTCTGTCTAAATGTGTTGACTGTACATATTGGCTGTCTAAATGTGTTGATTGTACACAATCACTGTGTTAAAATGTATAGTCATTCCTACACATACAGTTTTACTTCCACGTTACTGTGTAAACCTTTCTCAGCAGCTCCATTATCACAAACGCCAGTGTCAGCTAGACATCACAATTTCCCAGACCTAAGCATTAACAGTCTGTGGAAGATCTGATGTCACGATTACCATGCAGCTCTAAAACATTGAGCAGTCATTGTGCGCATCATGTGTCTCTCCGTGTGGCTGACTCACCACGTCATCCTGCTGCTGGGTGTATCTGTCACTGTACGTGCACACAGTCAGAGTAGTTACACACACTGAGGAGTAACTTGTATGTCTTAGGTCCCACTTACAATGACATGGTTACATTCAACTCAGGCTGCTGAGGTAAAACTGATTCAGTCACTTCTGGTAAAACTGGGCTCCGTTGTGATGAATCCCAACTCGTTCATTTTGTTTTAAAGGCAGCCTCACTCCAGTTACGTAGTAGAGCAAATCACTCCATTGCTTTAAAGCGCAACTCACTCAGTGGCGGTAAAACCCAAGTTACTCATTTGCTTTAAAGTCCAACTCAATCGGCCGCGGTAACGCTGAAATCATTCGTTCAGATTAAATGTTCCCACTTGTATTCTTGTACGGTAAGGTATTGATTCTAAGTCCAGGTAAAACACAAACCATTCAGATATTGTTAGACCCTCCGTGAATAAGCTAGGTTATTGCGAAGTGCGGTGATTAACTACATTCATTCACAATGATGCTACATGTATGTACCCCGTGAACACCCAGGTTAGAATACCCGTGATGATCCGGGTTAGAATGTGCCTTCAGTAACCCATGCTTGTCGAAAGAGGCGACTAACGGGATCGGGTAGTCAGGCTCACTGACTAAGTTGACACATGTCATCGGTTCCCAATTGTGCAGATCGATGTTGATCTAGCATGCAGATCATGCTGTTGATCACTGGATTGTCTGGCCAGACTCGACTATTTACAGACCGGCGCCATATAGCTGGAATATTGCCGAGTGCGGCGTAAACCTAAACTCACTCACTCACTCCCGGGTTAGAATCAGCACTAACAAACCATACATGCATATTGTAAGTTGTTACTAGCGAGACCAGGGTGCCGTTCCACTAACCGATCTTATCTAAGATCAATCTTAGCAGACCCGTGAAGATCCGGGGTAGAATAGGTCTTCAGCAACCCATGTGCTTGCCATAAAAAGGCGACTATCTTGTCGTAAGAGGCGACTCACGGGATCGGTAGATCAGTTTCCCTGACTTGGTTGACACATGTCATCGGTTCCCAATTGCGTAGATCGTTGCTCATGCTGTTGATCACTGGATGGTCTGGTCCAGACTCGAGTATTTACAGACCGCAGCCATATAGCTGGAATATTGCTGAGTGCGGCGTAAAACTAAACTCACTCACTCACTCACTCAATCTTAGCAAGTTATGCCAATTTTACAATCGCCTTAGCTAAAAGTTACACCCGTTCCACTAACCGATCTTAGGCCGATCGTAGCCGGTCCCGATC